CATCCCTCCTTGGTATTTCTATTGGATGGCTGTACCACAGTTATTACCTTCTAAAAAATTACTATTATAACACTATGTGATGAATATCTTAGCTAAACTTTTATATACATTCATTGAAATTTCATTTAAGCGATGTTCTAGAAATGAAATTTCTGAGTCGAAAGGTGAAACGTGTTCTTTCACTGTGTATGAGGGAGCCTAACATTCCCATTCCTACCTTCACTGAGTAAATTTACAAATCCTCGTCAAGTGTATAGGTAGGAAAGCAATCTCATCATTTTAATGTGCATTTCTTTAATAAGCATCAAGGTAGAACATTTTCTTATATGTTATTCGCTGACCATATTTTCTTCCTTTATTGGTTTTATTTTTCTGTTCCTTGCCCATTTTCTATTAGAATAATCATCTTTACCTTATTAATTGTAAAAACTCTTAATAAATTACCTCTGTTAGCTCTCTGTCATGTATGTTGTAAATACTGCCCTGTTTTGTCTTTTGTCTTTGAGGATAGTTCAGAATGTCTTCTGATGGAAAGAAATTTTTCAGGTTTCTTCCTTTATAATTTTTGCCACCAGAAATTTAAAAAGCCTTCTTTATTCCAAGATCATTTAATACTTATTTGTATTTTATTCCATGTCACTAGTTTTTGAAGTGTGATATTCCTTCAAAGTCTGCCCCAAGGGGTGCCTGGCCATGGCCTTCAGAAAAACAACAGAGGAGGCTTATGAAGTGTAGACTGGCTATTTGGTGAAGCTACCAAGAGTGCCTCATAAAGGGGATGAGAGGGATCTTAGATGTTTATTCTTTACCAGTTCCTTACGCTGCATCCAGTTGCTTTGTTAACTTGCTCTTTCAGTGAAAGAAGTTTGAAATGGAAAGAATGTTTACATTGGGTTTATGTTTACATATTAAACCTCTGGGGTGTGATGACTCTTCTCACCTTGGCCAGAATGGGAGCTTCAGATGGACAGACCTTTGTTTTGTTCACTGATCTGTCGCAAGCACAGTACCTAGTATATAGCATGCACCTGGTGAATATGTGTTGGAGAAACTGATCTTTAATCAAGTAGAGTTGTGTGTATGCTACTTGTTAGGTGGGAGAGCCAGGGATGAGTTCTGGGTTTCACTCCTTTGCGTTAGGATGTGCAAAGTAAAAAAAAAAAAAAAGGAAAATAAAAAGCAACTTCTAAATGAAGGCAGAAAGTAAATTTCAGTTTTACTTTTCAGTTGACTGTGGAGATATTGATTGAGTGTAAAGGTGAAGGTGCCTCAAACCTGCCAGTAGGGTATGGAGCCGAATACTGGAAAACAGTCAGAGGAAAAATAATCTGTTGGGCAGATAGTCGGCAAAACGGTGACATCCCTAGACCAAGAGAAATAGGAGACACTATTCTGCTAAATTTGATGTTATGGCATTTGTCCAAAGCAATAACAATCTGATCTGGCTTTATTTGAACAAAACAAGGAAGAAACAGTTTTCAAGAAGGTTCATTTTCACTGTGGGGAGAGGGAGAGAAGCATTCCATGTAATAATAGAAAAATCAATTTTTTTTTTCAATCAGATGAAGTGTCCTCATAAATTCAAGGCAGAGAACAGCATGTGATATGCCTTCATAAAAACGAGGACCATGTGGGAAAGAGGTTAGGATCCTACTTCCAAGGTTGCGGTCAGGAAGAGAGGTTTCTCAAGAATACTGTCCCTGCTAGTATGGGTTTGTGATTTTATGTAGTGGTATGTAGGGAGCACACCTCATCCTGCCCAATCGGCCTCTAGAAAATTCCATCCTGCCCAGCCTGCCTTCCATTTGGCTATTTTGGATGTTTTTAAGTAACACCCTGAAATCCTCCCTTTATAGCATAATAACATATGAAAAACCCAAACCCAAACAATCTTTCTTACTAGCAAAATTTTTTATTACATATACAATGTAGTATATTTATACATACGAACAAGGGAATGACCAGGAAAGTGGAAAGATGAAGACTTCTGACAGAATTTAAAGTTACATCCTAATTATAAAGTTTTTGATTGGTACGAAGATTGGAAAGTCAGCCTTTGCAAAAGATCTAAGGAGAGTATGAAAGTTGGAAAGACGGTCCTCAAGTGTGCACGAGGGTCAGGGAGAATGAGCACCCTGGGAAAATCTGCGCCCCACGCTTTCTTTAACATGTAAGGCTGAAACGGAAAGCCCGGTCAAGTCTCTTTACAATACTAAAAAGGTGACCAAGTGGGAGGGCATCTACTCCGTATAAACCTGATGTGTTGGAAGACAAACTGACACATTCCATCAAACCGACACGTTCCATGCACTCTAGCCTTGGGAAACGACACGAGATTCACGGGAAGCACTGTGCCCGGGGAATGCCCTCACTGCAGTTTTCTGCCAGCACTCATGCACCAGCATGCCAGGTGTCTGAGGGCTGGAATGGCACCCCTTCCTGGTGTGTCCTCGAACTGTAGCGAAGAAAGAAGTTCAAGGGATAAAGGCCCTGCAGGCGTAGACAGCAGTTCAATGACTATCAGGTTAGCCCTGTTAAATTAGTCACGCTGCCAATCCCTGTGCCATGGGGCTATTTCTATGTTTTCTAGAGGTGTCGTCCGTCTCTGACTGACCCAAAAGAGAGCTGTCGGTGCCTGTGATCGGACGTGCCCTGGCACTTCACAGGAATTAACCCTGAGCCCTAGAATGCTGCGGCCACCCTCCATCTAGGCACCTCTGAACTAAGTGTCCCATCAGCTAGCTGGGGTCTGGGAAGGAAGGGAAGTTGTTGCAGTGTATATCCGAGGAAGTGGAAAGTGCACAATTCAAATGTCTCCAGCTTTCTAGGAATAAATCTCCTTAGAAAAATCAATCACACCCATAAAAATATTTTCAACATTCTCACTTACATGTCCTAATTGATGAGCGACTCTTTAGTTTTATTTGTGCCAAGAAGATCTGTTTCCTCCCCAGAGGGTGACCTCTTATATGTTTTATGCCAAGAAAACCATAAGGAAAAATGCTGACCTATGATGGTTACACATCATGTGTAATCACTACATTAAATTAAAATACTGCAATATAAAATAACGCACTTGCTGGGCTACTCGGGCAGGGCATAGCTTCCCAAGCCACAGACACACCTACTGAGACACGTGAACCGTCTAACGAGTCTGGTTCCCAGCTGTGTGTCAGGAGCCAAACCATGACATCAGGTCTTGAGCTGCCCTGGAGAAACTTAGGGCAGGGCTGTCACCGCAAATTGTGCTTGCCAGTCAGAGATTTCCCAAGAGGTGCCTTAGCTTTTCCGTAACCAAACTCGAACAGGAGCCAGGGTTTGCAATGACCACAGGGACGCTCGCCTCCCCTCCCCACCCTCCTCCAATCATGACTTTCCAGTATTCCCAAAGCTCACATCTCGAAGACTGCTTCAAGGTAAGTATTGAAACCGGGACTTGGGGGGAAGGAGGAGGTTCATTTAAGCACAAGGTTTCCTTTTCTTTGGCTTGGCTCAGCTAAATGAAAACCTCTTGAAAAATAATTGCTTATTTTTTCCTGATCTCTTCAGGTGGGGTAAAGCAGCAGCCTCTGAGTAGGCCAAACAAATGTCTATGGGAAAAATTTCCACTGGAAAGGGGTGCTTAGCAAAAGAATCTCGGTAAGGTAAATGGGCTTTCTAAAAGCCTAGGGATTCCATAATACCTTTTAAGACCAATCATGTGAAAGCACTGTCCAACTCCGTCACAACCCAGAGACAGAGTGAGAACTTGGCTCTTCGTGCACGCCTCCAGGGCTCTCCCTGTTGTAAGTCCTTCAGCAGCTTTCAGAATGGGACCCTTCCCTCCTTTTCCAGCTCATATCTGCCATCTTCTGCCAATGCAGTCCTCGATCAGGGCTGTTTCTGTCCCCTAAAGGGGGACATTTTTGGTTATCACCACTGAAGGAAGGAGAGGGGGATATGACTAAAGGTACTTCAATGCAGAACACAGCTTCTCAGGCACCGAGAATCACCTGGTCCAAATGTCAGCAGTGTCGAGGTTGAGAAACCCTGCCCCAGATGTGCCAAACCCTTTGTTGTCCTCCAAACATGCCAGACTTTCTCCTTTGCTTGTGTCCCTAAACATAGGCCATTTCCTTTACCTGGAATGCCCTGCCCTACTTCTAAGTCCAAGAAATGACCACTTATCATTCAGGATCCAACTCAAAGTGTCACCTCCCCTATATTGTCTTTTCCAGGTCCCCCAGAGTCAGATGTTCCTTCTTTGGAGCTTCCAGAGCTTCTGGAACATGCTTCATCAGAACACTAGCCACACTGCCCCCCAAATTATGGGTCACTTGGGAAAGCCTCATTCACCATTCACCCCCATAGTGCCCGTCTGGTAATCGTTTGCTGGTTGCTGAACCAATCAGGGAGGAAATGGAAATGCTGCGGATGCACCCAAGACTCTCTAGCAATACTGACTAAGGGATAACGATGTCCCTGATATCAAAAAACAACAACAGCAAATGCTTATAATGTGGACCGGCACATGTATTAAGCATTGGTGCACATATTAACTTATTTCATCCTTACGACAACCCTACGAGGTAGGTACCGTTATCATCGACATTTTACAGATGGGGAAACTGAGGCACAGAGACGTTAAGACACCTGCCTCGGGTCACTAAAGCTAGCATCTGAAAGGGCTGATATTTAAACCCGGGTAGTCTGGTTCCAGAACCTTAATCCTCCAATATTCGTATCAAGACAGTGGTACTAATATCCAATATTTTAGCAACTCAGAGGCCTCAGGAAAACACAAGTGACACCTCCAAAGGACTGTACCACCGTAGAGTGGCCCCCAACTCCCATGACCCTGTCTGGAAACATTGCTTTCTGGGGTCACATAGCTCTCCAACCTCTGGAGTGCTTTGCGCAGAAGCAATCTCCTCACAACACAGAAAAACACTTATGTACCCCGAAAACATCATGGTACCATAAAGAAGACCTAAGTGCTGATTCTTCAAAGAAGCTCTTACCTTGTTCATGCTGCAGGGACTGAAGCGAGGGATCAGACATGTCACAATGCGAGGCTGTTCTTGAAGAATCTCTTGTTCCTGCAGACCTCAGTCGCTGAAGCAGGCAGCTGTACTGTGAACACAGACAAGAAGGAATCCATAAGTTGGTGCTCAGAAGGCACGGAGCAGTCCTGTGTCCAATGCAACCTTTTGCCATGAGGGCAAAGCTCCATGTCTGCGCTGGCCAGTATGGAAACTGCCAGCTGCCCGTGGCTCCTGAGCCCTGGAAATGTGGCTAGTGCAACTGAGAACTGCATTTTTGATTTCATGTGATTTTAATGAAATTTAAAGCTAAACTGTCACATGTGGTTAGCGGCTACCACATTTGATGGTGCAGGTCTAGCGAGTCGATCAAAAGTCAAATCAAGAGTCTTGAGGCCACAGACCTGGGGCATGGCTGTGGCCGAGGAAATGCTGCACATTACATGCTCAGAGGGACTGCAGATACACAGGGACAAGAATACTCATTCATTCAGTAACTACTTCTTGAGCACTTACTAGGTGCTGAGCACTGAGGATACAGTAATCGGTAAGCCAGAGAGGTCAGTTATTTAAATTTCTAGTTCAGGCTTTGACTTCCTTAGGAAGGAAAGATCTAGCAGGTGAGCTTCACCTACTGTGTGCCAGACCGCAATGCCCTCCCTGCTGCTCACAAAGCCTAAAGGAACAGACAGGTATTTGCTGGAGCCTGACTGTACCACTGCTCAGGATTAATAGATAACGGAACCTTTCACAGAGCTCCTTGGGAGGCAGTATCCCAGAAGGGGGGTCAGCTTTGCAGGGGCCAAGTGAACCAGATGATCCAACACCCCCTCAAATGGAATAAGGGCCCATGTTTCTACCCATGCTGTTGGTTCATTAGGCGGAGTTTTTAAAATTTACTCGAATTAAATTTTAGAGTAAAACAGTTCTTGTATGGTTCCAGGGTTCTTAATTTGTCAAACATTAAGGAAAAATAGAAAATATCTTTGACTACTTAACTAGATTTGTAGCCATTTCCTTTGAAAAATATTTATGGGTGGATTTGAGGAGAATAAATGTTATAAGATTCCTTATAACCACTTTATTTCTGTGTTATTTTTTCAGATTGCATCTAGGAAGCATTCATATATCTGAACCTTTCCATATAAACTGGAATTAGAGGTTTAAAAGGAACTGCAGTGCTTTTAAAAAATGTATTATTTTTAATTATAATATAATAACAATGTAGAAAATGTTCTATAGGAAAAGGAAAAGAAACTCATAATCACACCAGCCCACTATAATCACCTTTAGTTCTTAGCAATTGGCCTTTCTCTATTGGAGAATGGACAATGCCCCGGCACATCTGCTGAGTCAAGGACACAGACAGGTCAAAGGATCTATTCCCCACATTAATCTCTTTCACCATTAAGAAAGTAATTTTGTGGTTTATATTTTCAAAAGACAAACTTCTATACTACACATTACTATTCTGTGAACATAATATTATTACAGTCCTTTTATAAATAAGAAGACAGGGCCAGGAAATTGCAGATCACTCCCTGGCTGATTAAGACACATAGATTCCAAAGAAAATACCCTATTCAGTCATAGCAATAACATTATTAACAATGATGTACAACATGGAGAGACCCTGGAATTCTACCTTTGTAGCCTAAATACATCCAAAAACCCTCTTATGCACATGATGTCACTGCTTCAAAGTCAAGAAAATTCAATATCAAATTCTAACCGATCTTAAATTGATTGACAAAAAAATATGATTTTACTCTCGAATGTCCAGAAGCAGATGCTAATGAACGTCAGTGTTTTAAAGTAGAACTATATACACGTTGTTTTCTTCTAAATATATGTATTTGACCCATTTAAAAGCTGTCACCCAGTACTTAACTGGGAAGACTGTCCAAATACCTTGCAGAGAGGGCTGATGTCAGAATTCCATTCAAATGTACACATTGGTATCAACACAGGAAAGGTGGGCACAAGAAGATAATAAACAGACAAGGATTCTTGAACATAATTTCCCCAAGGAAATTCCACCCAGCTCCAATGATGTCACCATCCCCATCCCCTCAGAGCACGGGTACACAGTTCGCACTAAATTATGGATCCTCCTCTGCCCCGCCACACCGGCTGAGTGTTCTTAGGTCAATGTATTCTGGCTCTATGACAAAGTCAAGACTAAAAAAAAAAACTCAGGCTAATATTGAGGGAAATACTAGGTTATATATAAAGGTCTTAATAAATATTGTGAATGGATGTTTTCTTTGCTCTCACAGAGTCTAAAATAATGTAGGCTCTTAATGCAGGATCTTCAAAACTATGTTGATTATCATTGTAGGCTGCCTTTGGGTTTTTTTTAAAAAAGGAAAATCTTTTAATATCCAGGGTTATAAATGTTTTAAAGAGTATTAAGAATATCTTACAGCTGTAGTGTTCAAAATTGTACAATGCACTTTATATTATTACTCTCATTTAGTACTGATATCAATCAGAGTGGTAGTTTTCTTCATTAGGAAACTAGATGCAGAGAGGAAAAAGAATTCTTAGTCATGTGGAATAGACACTGGGCCAGATATGACTTCATTTCAAGATACCATAGAATTAAAATATGTACAAAGACCACAAATAAAAAACCTCCCCCAATAAAACACACACACACACACACACACACACACACACACACACAGAGACCACCATTAACAGAAACACTTCAGTGAACAGATGACAGTTTTAGAAATTGGGTCAGTTCACTTCTGGACAGGAACCAAGAAGACTGGCCTTTTTCTACCAAGTACTTTGCATTTCTTTTGAAACAGAGAGAACCTGGTTGTTTTGCAGCCAATTCGGTTATGAAGAAGTTTAGAGAAATCCACAGCTTAGAAAAAGAGACTGGATCTTAAAAATAAAGCATTAAAAAAAAAAAAGATGTCTGAGTTACCATGGTGGAATTAAGGAAGTTTTTTTTTTTATTATTATTCTGTTTTTCAATGTTTCTTTTTAGTTGTTTATGAAGTTGAATTCTTCTGGTACTAAACAAACAAAAAACAAGTAGATGCCTTTAAAGGGTGCCCAGAGAAAGTCCATAAGCTACCATGTGAACTCTACATAGTTGATCCTAATGGAGTTGTTTCATTGGGCAACGAGGCCTGTGGTCAACCTTAGGCTTACAGAGGTTAATGAAATGTAATTCGTCTTCCCAGGTGGGTAGAAGTGTGGGGTAAGAAGAAAGGTGGAGGCAGGGTAAGTCCAAGGAGAGAAAGAAAAGGTAAAGCTACCAAGAAAGGAGAACACTGAAGGGCAGGTAAGTAAACAGATACCTAGAGACAGTTCAGTGGTGTGGACGAGTGCGCCTCAGCAGCCAGGTCCTCACTACGGAAGGGATCGAGAGATTCAGGCTTCTGGTGACAGCACCACATTCTACAGCTTCTCTACATCATACACTCTCATGGACAGGGTGTCAGCAAGGAGTCAAGTTAAGACTGGGCCTACCTGTTTCACAACTATTTATTTACCATCAACCTCCACCTACCACAGAGAAAAGTCTATTTTACCTGGATCGCTGCTAATGTGGTACAGAGGTATAAGCCAACTTTATTCTCTTTACTCTAAAAAGAAGCCGACAGCTGTCAAAGAGCTGTGTTATTCATGTGTAGATTGTGTTATTTCTTGGCTCGTGAAAGGGCAACTAACTAATACTTATTGCCAATATAGAATGAAATATAAAAAATTTGGACTTTCCTCCCTACTCCAAACCCCCCATCCCTTCCACTATGTTCATTCTAGAAGGCTGCTGTAATACAATTAAAGCTGGGTAGCTTGGCAGTCCTATGGGAGACAGGCCAACAGAAGCGAGCAGGTGACTCCTTGCAATGTTAAAGGCCTTCCTGGCTCTTAGATAGAAGGCACCTTGAGGTCAGTCTGTAGAGTGGTCTCTTGTCACTCTCCTCCCCACCACCAAACCCAGCAGCCTAAGCAGAGGGCCTCAGCATGAGGACTGAAGAGCTTGTGGGGAAGAAATAAGGAAAGTGATAAAAAAAGACGAAAGGCTCTGGAAAGAAAGGGAGAAAAGACAAGATGACAAGAATCTAGAGGAAATTTTCTAAGTCAAGGACTTAGGAGCTTAGGAAATCAGATGAACAGATGAGAGAAATAACTCTAATATCCTCCACCCTGTTTTTATGGGTTGGAGTAATTTACGTGTCTCTGAGGTTAAGTCCTAACAACCTTCACCTGGAATCCTTGTGCAAGACTGGATAAATGTAAGACCATTATAATTACTGCCAGGCCAATCCCTCTCTTCCTCGGTAAGGGGCGTGGTGCCCCTTATTAAAGGATTCAAAGGGAAAGCAACAATCGGGCTCCTGTCTCCTGCCCCAAATGCACATAACCCCTCCCAAGAGATGGCTCCTGCCTTTCTTCCTGAAGAAGGGCTAGAGGGGCCGGAGCACTGCTCTTTGAGGAGCTTCTTGCAGGTCTTTCTCCATCCTCAAAGTTACCGCAGACATGCGGTTCTGGCACTCCAGGGCCTCCGTGTTCTCCTCACCCCCACATTTGGGCAGCTAACACGCCATAACATGGTTCTGTCCCAAGAGACTGAAGGATGATCGCTCTTCTGCCTTCCTCCCCATGCCCTGCCTTTACAGCATGGCATGGAAGACAGCCCCAGCCAGAAAGACGAGCACTTCTTCCCATCAAGCGTCGTCAACAGCCTTCTTTCCCAAGGACAGGTTAGGCAATTTAGAAATTAACATTTTAAAAATTTAACTGGCATATGAATTATGGTTCAATAGGAAACCGCGATAAGAAACAGGAAATGAGAGGACTGTAAATTATAAAGAGACATACAGCTGGGACACAAAAAATTTTGCCCTGAGAGCTAGATGGGGAGGAATAGAGGCCAGGGAAGGGCCAATAGTGCCAAGCAGTAGGGTTCATTGCTTTCAAGCCACTACCTCCGGCACACATGCTGGGGGTTTCCCTTACTTGGTGAAATCATAATTCAGGATATCCAACATTTAGATTTGGGGCTATGGCTCTTAAAAAGGTCAGTATCAGTCTCCCAGTGATTTAGGAATATCTTAATTAAAG